TGTATTTTCCTTATAAAAGTATATAACTATTGCCTATTAATATTTTACAGAAGTTCTACTTCGAACAGAACAACCGTAATGAATTTAAGACAATAAGTTATCACCTAAAGAACAGACAGATTGCAATGCTGCTTTTCAGTACTAATACCTCAATTAAATGATAGGGTGACTGTAAAAGTATAACCCATATTTTCCACTTTTAATACTGGTGAAACTGGCCTGCTGGATGTTCAAAACCAAAAAGTTGGGAGACCCAAGTCAAGGAAGTAAAAGGGCCAAGGAAAAAGCAGCCAATTTTCTGGCCCTTGCTCTCTCAAATCAGCAAGGAGCCAGAGAATGACAGAACCCCTCTAAGGACCCTGCAACTTCAAGGAGTCACCCAGCCTCCTCATCAGGGGGATCAAGGAGATACTAGAGAACAGGAAGCCAGCCAATCAGTGCACATTCTGCAAAGAACAGGGTCATTGAAGAGGGAAATATCCTGATACAGTCAGCAAGACTTTGACCCATCCTAGCAGATAACACAATTGGTACAGGAAGGCTAAAAGAGGAAAGAGACTTCTCATACTATGTCCCCAAGAATGATTGCTAAGGAATCCTGAGATCACTGACTCTAAGAGAAGATATGAACAAAGTGAATTTTGACCAACTTGGTCTTAAACACCTGGCAGGAGAGTATGACTGAAGTATGACTATATGTGGACATTTAAAAAGAAAGACAGCCAGGCATGGTGCCACATGCCTGTAATCCTAGCAGCTTGGGAGGCTGAGACAGGAGGATCATAATTTCAAAGCTAGCCTCAGCAATTTGGAAGGCCCTAGGCAACTTAGTGAGACCCTGCCTCAAAATAAAAAATAAAGGGCTGGAGATATGTCTCAATAGTTAAGAGCCTCTGGGTTTAATCCCTGGTTCCTAAATGCATAAATGGAAAGATAATTTTTTAATGTAACTTAAGATGTACACTTCTGTCAACGCTACCAAAAGTAAGTAAAGCTGGAAGCTATAAAGGAAGGGTTCTTGTGTGGGAATGCCTAATAATAATGATCACAAAAGACTCAAAAGTCACAAGTATATCCTGAGTCAATTTGAGCCTGATCTCATAGACCTACAAATCTTCTTAACCTTCTACATAGATAAACTTGATCTGTTTTTCATTGACATGATTATGAGTTACTTGTTTATGGTTTTCAGAGACTGGCAGAAATACTAATTGCTTTTGTGTTAATTGTTCACCCAAACATAATACTTTAAAGTCTTTATTATTGTCCTAGCATGATCCTTGTCCTATGTAAACTTTGTCCAGTCACTTACCAACTGCCACCATGGACCTCTGGTCTGCCCTGATGCTGAATATATACACTTAACTGTCCCACCTGATAGAGAACAAGAACTTCAGGTCACTTCCCCCAAATTCACACAGAAAGTAGCTCAGAGATGTCACTGCCATAAAAAGGGAATTGTAGAAAGTAACAGTAAGGGCCAGGCAAGGTGGCACAGGCCTATAATCCCAGCATCTCAGGAGGCCAGACAGGAGGATCATGAGTTCAAAGAAGCTAGCATCAGCAATGGCAAGGTGCTAAGCATTTCAGTGAGATCCTATCACTAAATAAAATACAAAATAAGGAAATGTAACAGTGGTTCATTTTATGCTCTGCCACTGCAACTTATTTTTTTTTTCCCCATGATAGGTAAATATTTAATCTTAAAAAAAAAAAAAAAAAAACTGTTAGCTTATTTTCCTAAGTGGTTGCACCATTTCATGATTGCAACTTATTTTTAAAAGGAACATGTTTCTTCCCCTTTCTCAGTCACTTCTCCTCCCTAATCTCTTCCCAACCCTAATCTTGGGAAGGCAGGGAGGGGCACAGGATGGGACAGGATTATCTTTCTTCCACTTCTGCAGTTATCGGTCCTTGAGCACACACCCACCACTGGAACAAAGTAATTCAGACTTGCCGATGGCACCAAAAAATACAAGAAATGACTCTCTCTCAAATTAACAAGTGAATTACACATGGAAAGTAGCCTTTGATTCAGTTCTTTAAAAATCCCTGTTCCCCTAGATGGGCAGAACCACAGCCTCTGGGACAGGAGTCCTGATATTTCTCCTTTGCTTGCAAAGCAATCAAAATGTTTTCCTTTTTCTCAAAACTGTGTCCTTTTTATTGAACTGGCATTGGGGATAATGATCATGCTTTTGGTAACAACAGTATCGCTACCTCCCAACCAGAGAACAACCTCTGTCCCCACATTTCTACTATAAATTGTTGAAAATATTTGTAGAACAAAAAGCTATCATTCTGAGAAACTCAATCCTCCTTTCAATGACATCAAAGAAAATTCCAAACTTTTCAACTAGATTTAAGGATTTCCACTGACCAATTTAAATTACTCTTACAGTATAAAAGGTCACAAGAAAGTAACTCTACTGCCAGTGTTTCAATTAGTATTATATCCTCAAGATGAATCTTAAAGTCAGCTAATTTATAATATGAGAAGTTACACTTTGGACAAAGCATTGAAGAAAATGCAAATATGAACTATTCTAAATCCTTAAAAAGATGTTTGCTATTTTGGTTCCCTAGAATTCAGAAATCAAGATGGACTTACCTAAACCAATTCTTTCAAATAGGAAGTACTAACCTGACTGGTAATGCTATTTTCCCATAATAAATACAATCATGTATTGCCCACACTCCCTTCCTACTCTATGCTAAATGCTACTGCCTGCTGGTCAAAAAGATTATTAGTTTTATTCCCATGAATTTTCAAAACCAAAACATTTTTTTTTGGGGGGGGGGGGTTGATTTGTTTTGTTTTTTGGTACTAGGGATTAAACTCAGGGGCATTCAATCAATGAGCTGTATCCCCAGCCCTATTTTGTATTTTATTTAGAGACAGGGTCTCGTTGAATTGTTTACTGCCTCGCTTTTGCTGATGCTGGCTTTGAACTTGTCATCCTCCAGCCTCAGCCTCCTGAGCTGCTGGAATTACAAGTGTGTGCCACCATGCAGTCCCAAAACATCTAAATAAAGAATTACAGCAAAGTTGTAGGAATGTGCCTAAAATCACCATAGTATAGTCACCTAGTTAAGAACAGACATCTCAGGATAATCTGAGTTTGGATTCCAGTTGTGCTATTTACTTCACCATTAAGTGCTAATTTCCCCATCTTTACTTATTATTTATACAGAGGAAAGCAAAAATAATCAGAGACCAGATCTCAATGGAAAGCAAGCTTTCTTTATTAAGCAACAGAATGGCACATTTTTTCAGAAGAAAAAATGGCAAATGATTATAGGAGGGGTCTAATTTTTTTTTTACAGGATTTGAGTAAGTTTTGATTCATAAAAATGAGATTTGAAAGCCAAGGTGGCATAGGTCTGTAATCCCAGCAGCTTGGGAGGATGAGATAGGAGGATCAGGGGTTCAAAGTCAGCTCAACAATTTAGCTAGACCTTAAGCAACTCAGTTAGATCATGTCTCTAAATAATATACAAAATAGGGCTGAAGATGTGGCTCAGTGATCGAATGCCCCCGAGTTCAATCCCTAGTATCCACCCCCCTCCAAAAAATAAGATTTGAATAATTTGTTGCTGGGAAAGGGTGAATGAATGTCCAGAGCTCAGAGATCATTGTTTGCTCCCCCAAACAAACTGTCCTCCTTTCTCCTTGAGGGTTATATTTCATATCCTTCACACTCTACCCCAACTATATCCTCTGCCCTTTTTGACAGGTCTTGCTAAATCGTTGAGGCTGGCCTCCAATTTGATCCTCTTGCCTCAGCCTCCAATGTTTCTGGGATTACAGGCATGCCCCACCCCACTCAGCAGTTTCCCCATCTTTAAAGTGGGAATAATGATATTTTCTTAATGCAGTTGTTGTGAGGATGATTAAATGAGTTAATATTTGTAAAGCTCTCAAAGATGTCTGGCAATAACCAATATTTTACCGATTTAGACTCTTGCCTCAACAGAACCTCATGGGCTTAAATTTAAAAGTTCTAGAAAAATGGACAAATAAGCTGTCCTATTTTCCCAGCACTCCCTAATTCTATTAATTTTGATTTTTTTTAAACACTCAGAACATCCCAGGTAGCAAGGAGGAAAAAACCAATTTTTTTTTTTTGGGGGGGGGGGGCAACCCTTAGTTGTTTGCTAGTTCAAGGTGTACATTCTTCAGTTCAAAAATCTGAATTTGAACTAACCCTGAGGCAGAGGCCTGTGAATCACAGCCGTTCAGGAGGCCAAAGCAGGAGGATCGCTGGCTGGGCCATTTAGGAGAATTGGGTCCAAAAAAAAAAAAAAAAAAATTGCTGGGTATGTAGCTCAACAGTGGTATGCGTCCCTGGGTTCAACCAGTATCAAAAAAAATAGTTTGAATTTGACCCTCTCTGATCATCCTTTCCCATCACACATACTTTTCAAAACGACTTTTAATAGGTGTATAATTGTACAGAATAGTGGGTTTCACTGTGGAATATTCATACATAGATATAACTTGATCACTTTCACTCTCTAAAAATGACTTTTCTTAAAAGTAAACCATTCCCGGCTATCTTTCTTTTTAAATGTCCACATATGGTCGTGCTTTGGCCATACTCTCCTGCCAGGTGTTTAAGACCAAGTTCGTCAAAATTCACTTTGTTCTTATCTTCTCTTAGGGTCACAACCTTAGGAAAGAGCAGAGCATTCCCCTGGGCCACATTAAACTGTGGGTGAACATTAGATGCTTAAACTGACCTTTCTACCAGGTCGGCAATTAAGACCTCACGGAAACGTTAAGTCACTCTGAATTATCAGGAAAACAGGAATAGAAAGAAGCTGGCTCAATTTCCCCCAGAAGCCACTGAGTAGCATCCAGGGGCAAAGCTGAGTCCCCCAGTGCCGACTCCCCTCAGATCGCAGGAGACTGGGCTCCCCTTGCTTCCCCCACCCTACCCCGAACTTTTAGCGCCCACAATCAAGAGGGGAACCCGGGGAGCCCCGGGCACGCTCACCGGAGAAGGCCCTGCCCGCGCGCCGGGGTAGAGGGCGAACCACCCGCGGGCATCGAGGGGCGTAACCGGGCTGGCCTTGACAACCCATACCCGGGGGCAGAGCGCTGTGGCGACGGTGGGCGGCCCGGCAGCGGGGCGACGGCGGGCGGGGCGGAGGGCGGCCCTCCGGGCGCGGCGCGCGTTTCCGGCGTGCGCGGCGGAGCGCCGGGGCGGGGGCACAGCCGGCTCCCAATCGCGCACAATGAGACAGCGCTGAGCGCCGGAAGTGGGACCGAAGGAAAACTCGGAGAGGGAGCCCAGCCGGGACAGGAAGAGGCGGGGGACCGCGACGGAGGTGGTGAGTGCTCTGGGGCGCCTTCTCCCTGTGTCCCTCCTAGACTCGCCCCCTGGCTGGGTCTCCCGTGGGTTCCTTAGTCTCCAAAGTAGAGGTCGGGCCTGGCCCCATAGGTACGTTGGCTCCATCCTGAGGCGGCCTCCTAGTCCAGTTTCGGTGTCTAGGGATCCTCCAGGCCGGCTAGAACTGAGCTCTCGGGTTCGAGTCCGCCTTTTCACTTTGTGTCAGACTCTGCGAGGGTGGGAGAAGGGATTTGGGTCGAGACACTCGGCCCCGGCCCCCTGGCGGCTGGGGGGACCCCGGAATCCCATCGAAGTGGCGGGTCACTTCCTGCTTCCTGGTCCCCACGGTGGCTTCGTGGCCGGGACTGTGGGTACGCCTCCTACTTTTTCATCTCGGACTGTCAGGGGTGGAAACTGAGGCAGACCGGGGTGGGGCAGTCAAGACAAGAATCGAAAAGGCGTGGCATTCTTTAGAGAATTGCTGTTAGTGACAAAACCAAACTTGTTTAGTATTGAAGAATGAGAAATGGGGCGGTTCTCTGGAGTTGTCCATTGGTCAGAAACCCAGTCCCTTTCATTAGTCCGGAGCCCAGCCCCTCTTGTAGCCCGAGAGATCAAAGCCGGTCTGTTCTGAAATGTGATGAAGCAACTAGAGTGGAGTTGAGAGGAAATGTAGTCTGTTTACATAAAGTTTTGGTTACTTTGTGTAACACTTTAAAGTAATTGCCAACTTAAAAAAATAGACTTTCAGGAGTTCTGTAGCAGTTATTGGCTTGGGATGAGGTTTACTTTTGAAGTTTTCTTTGAAGAGAGGCGCTTTTGTATATAAGTAAAGCTTACCAATGTGATATAACGTTTTACTATAATAGTTTTCCGGGTAAGAGGAGCTTTTCTTATTCACAGATTTAGTCTTCACAAAAAATACTAGGTACGAATCCCATGATTGTAGGACTATGTCTCCTAACTTCTAGTGCAATGCACTGATTATTAGGAATGTGATAGAAATTTAATTAAAAGAAAAAAAGGAAAGGTTTCTTACACACTTTTGGGCATCAATATGATATGGCATTTTGTGTACTTGGTATCATATCTTGTTATATTTAATTGTTTTCTCGAAATGCCTTCTTTCAGGTGCAAAGAAAGAAAATTGAAGTCAAAGACCATGGGAGATGCAGCAAAACCTTATATTGTGAAGCGCAGTAAAGATCGAGGACCTGTTGATGATGATGATTTCAGAAGGGGTCACCCCCAACAAGATTATTTAATAATGGATGATTATGCTAAAGGCCATAGCAGTAAAATGGAAAAAGGCCTTCCGAAAAAAAAGCTAACTCCTGGGAACTATGGGAATACCCCGAGAAAAGGATCATACGCTGTTTCCAGCAATCCATATGCATTTAAAAACCCAATTTACAGTCAGCCCACTTGGATGAATGACAACCACAAAGATCAGAATAAGAGGTGGCTATCTGATGAACTTACTGGTAATTCAGACAATTGGAGAGAGTTTAAACCTGGACCTAGAATTCCTATCATAAGCAGACCAAGGAAAGATGCCTTTCAAGAAAGTGAAGATGGTTACAGGTGGCAAGATGGAAGAGGCTGCAGAACTGTAAGAAGACTGTTTCATAAAGACCTAACAAGCCTAGAGGCCATGTCAGAAATGGAAGCAGGAAGTCCTGGTAATGTGTTCCAACTTGTAAGGTTATAGCCCCAAAGTCAACAATGTCTTATTCTTTTTCATCCAAATAAGTTTTATTTTCAGCAGTGAATTTCCAATTTTTCATAGTATATGTTTTCAGAAGTGTTAATTTATTTAATGTGATTATTTTAAGGTTTATAATCATGACATTTGGGCACCTCTAACACATTTCATATATTGGTCCTTTCAAAAGTTTACCTCACTGGGGGTGTAGCACATGCCTGCTAATTCCAGCAACTTGGTAGACTAAGGTAGGAGGATTGCAGGTTCAAGGTTACCTTTAGCAACTTGGCTCTCTAAAAATAGAAAAAATTTTAAAAAAGGGCTGAGGATGTAGCTCAGCGGTGAAACACCTCTGGGTTCAATCCCCCATACCAAAAAAAATTTTACCTCAAGGCTTATTTTACTTTAGTGAACATATTTTCATACAGTAAAAAATATGTTTTTTATAGAAGAGGGTATCATATCCCCCTAGGGACCATAGCATAATTTCTAAGTGGTATTATGTATTTTCAAAATTATGTTTATAATTTTGTATTTAGGGCTGGAATTGTGGCTCAGAGCTAGAGTGCTCGCCTAGCACGTGCGAGGCCCTGGGTTCGATCCTCACCACCACATAAAAATAAATAAAGATATTGTGTCCAACTACAACTAAAAAATTTTTAAAAAATTGTATTTAAATAATGAACATGTCCATTATATAAGTGACAGTATAAAAGTAAAACAAAAAAGATTCAATGTGAAAACACAATATAGACTGAATATATTGCCTGCCAAAAGAAGGATTTGTCTTTTGGGTGAAGTATCAATCTCCAGAGGAGAACAACCCATGGTTTTTGTTTTTCAAGAGCTGTCAGGTGCAGTTAGTTGCATGCATCTGTAGTCCCAGCCCTGAGAAGACGGAGGATCACTTGAACCTAAGAATTGGAGGCCAGTCTGGGAATTCAGCAAGTCACCATCTGGGGGGAACTAGGGGTATAGCTCAGTGGTAGAACACTTACCTAGCTTGTGCAAGGCCATGGAGGGGTAGGGGTGAGAGGGTAAGCATGGCAACAGAGATTGGGAAACATGAGTTTAGAAAGTCAGAATACAGAAAAAAGCTTTGCTGTTTGTTTTCAGTAAATAACAACCCATTTCTAAGTGCCTTCACATGCTTGATAATAATTACCCCAGAGTGATTATTTATACTTTTTTCTGAAAGGTTCAAGGTAGATAATGTCCATGTAGCAATGATTTCTATAATCAGGAAGGTTATTTTTATCTAATGGATATATTCACTGAGGTGAGGGGAAGTCATAAATTGGATGGGAAAAATGAAACATAGTATTTAAAAATGGGCTTTTATGTTTATTGGCTGAAAGTCTTTTGTAGTGACCATGTAGAATGAATTGTAAACTGTCCAAATCAAATTTTTTTTAAACTTTTTTTTTTTTTAATTTAAATGTATTCAGGCAAATGTGAGTACTTTTCTAAGTCTCCAGATGCCTCTTTCTTCATGTTGTCTCAGTAGCCAGTTCATATATGTGTTACTTGCAAGGCACTTGAATTTGGGACTCATGCATATAGAATGCTTAAAAAGGAAAAGCTCTTTTTTTTTTTTTTTAATCATTAGACAGTCTTAGTACAAAGTGAAAATCTCAAGCACTTGTTAATATTAAATGGGGGAAAAGGAAAAAGGAAAGTTAAAATTAATGCTAACATCAAGGAGCAGAGACAGAATGCAAGATTATAAAAGAATTAAAATAATAGGTAGAGGTAATACCTTAGCATTACATGTCGTTAAGCCTAAAAAGAACTTGAAGGAATTTTCTGATGGAGCACTGTTATGATATAACAAAGGTGGAATCACAGTTTTACAAATTAGGCAGTTGCAGTTTGGAGAGTTTAAATTTATCCACACTTGTTTATTCAAAGTGGTAGATGAGGAAGTAGAACAGTAGTGGGGACTCCGTCGCCCTGGCCATTAAGTAATTCTCACTAGACCCAGAATCCAAATAGGGAAACTGAACATTTATTGGTAATTTCTGGGCTTTTAGTTTTTGTTTTTCTTTTTTATATTGTATATTTGTATTTATGTATTGCAGTGTCCATGTGGAATGTGGACATTAAATTTAATTATCAATGCTTGTCTTTTATAAAAGAAAAAGTTGAAAAGCATTTAAAAATGAAGGTTTACAGATCAAAAATTTGCAGCTAGACAATACAAGGTGCCATTTGGAGACCCAAAAAGCAGTTCATGTATTCTTATTTGGTGTTAGGAATAACTAAGGAAGTTGTTCAAATTGAATAACTGTTATTCAGTTTAATATCTAAACTTCGCTCTTCATTTAAAGGATCCTAAAAAGGATCTCATTAAAGGGATCAAAATGTCCTTAAATCAAAATGTGTCTTAACAGAAGGATCTTATTGAAACTGTGAGAAAATATAATGAAAATAATGTTACTTTTTTTTAATACCATCTTTTCTGTTTATCAGTTTACATTACTGTTTCTATCTCATCCCTTAAATGTCCTAGGTTGCAATTTAACATATTTGGGAAAATGCCATTAATTATTTTAGCTGGAAAACATCCACTCAGATACACATGTCCTTTGTGAATGGGCTAATGGACCATATTCAAATAAAATCTGGGAAAATTCGAATACTAAATATAGAGAACTCTTATTACAATAAATTTGGAATGAGCTAGATGGTCTTCCTCCATTATGGGAATTTTTTAGCAATACCCAGTTATACCTTCTAAGAATCCCTCCAATGAGATTTTGATAGTTTATACCTGCAGGCCTGTGAGATTTAGTTCAGGAGGTTATACTGCTATCAGTTTCTAGTCTGTTCTAGATGTGAGTCTGTATGTGCCTTAAAGAGATTTTGTAGTAATTTTTATTTTTTCTGTTTCAAGATGAAAGGCCGAATTTCAGGATCCATCCATATTTTAATCTGTATTTCAAATCCCTTTCCTTTGACTTTGTCCCGTATCCTTGAACAGATTATTAATTCTCTTGGACTGGCATTGTCCCCATCTGTACAATGGGGAAAATATTAATATCCGTGTCAGGATTACTGTAGGGATTAAACGAGAGCAGCACACAGAAAA